GGGCTCGCAACAGAGAGGGGGGAGGGGGGAGACGAGCAACATTTTGTTGCGGGTCCACTCTTGTAAATACCTATTTGCTATTTATTGTAATACCAGATTCGGGAAACTGCTTAACATCTGCTTAATTTATTGTCGCATAAGAGGCTTTGTTGCCTTCAGTGAGCAGCATATTAATGTTTGACATTACTTGAGTTCATCTAGGGGCACCATTAGTGTAAGTGTGTTTACCTTCCTAGTTAATGAGGCTACTTCTCATATGTAAAAATTAGACACCTACATTAAGTGCTGATTTAAGAACTCACATTAGAATGTAGAAAGTGGCGTTGACAGCTAATGGATCAACAATACCTTCTGGCCTCAACCAGAGCTCCCTCTTCTTAGTATTACAAGGCTAAACTACATGTGCTTCTGGGAATCTCCAGACACTTAACTGAGCAGCCACTGGGTGGCCCAGTACAGTTCAGTGTCATGGCACAGGAGAAGGTGTGGTTTAGCTCCTGTCCCCCAACTGGAAAATGATGCATGCTCACACATGTACACACTCACACATCAGGCTGCTTTACGGAGGAAAAGGAGAGAAGTGCCTTTATTGTAAGCAAGTTATATTAGGTTTGCCAACCTCCAGTTGGTGGCCGGAGATCTCCTGGGAATACAACCGATCTCCAGCTGACAGATCACTACGCCTGGAGAAAATGGCCATTTTGGAAGGTTGACTCTATGGCGTTATACCCCACTGAAGTTGTTCCCCTCCTCAAACCCTGTCCTCCTCAGACTCCGCTCCCAAAATCTCCAGTTATGTCCCAACCCAGAGCTGGCAACAAATCCAAAACACCAAGAACACAATCCATGTAATGCCTTTTGTTAGGACCAGCCTAATGATCAGGCCAGATGTTACCAAATCAAAAGGAGGCTTTGCTGTGCCTGTCTTCTTTTCCCTCCTGGAGTTTAAAGCAGCTGGGAGGGGCAGTGGCTATCAGGGAATGGAAAGAGTTTAAACCCCCCCTTCCTCATTGCCACATTTGGTGTTTGCATCTCTGCACCTGTAAAGCAGGGTGGGGTCTGATTTTTATCTGAAAGGGGGTGCATGGGTGAGTGTAAGGAAAAGGAGGGTTCAGGCACTCACTCGCATGCCCTAGAGATTTTGCCATCACACACGCATCCAACATATGAACAGGGGAGACATGCAAATAAGAATTTGTGGCTGACCCCATCAAGTTCAGTGTCAACTCTTGCACTAGCAATTCTGGAAAAGGATTAACTTATCCTTTATTGAGTGTCTTGTGCTCTAATGATACCACACAATATTAGTGTCCTGTTATGGTCAACCTATGCATGCGCAAAAACAGAATAGTTCAGATGTGTGAAGATAAGCAGGAGTAACATTCTTCAGAAGGTATTATTCAAGTATTCTGCAAATACAGACCTCTAATCAAAAAACATTGCTGACAATAACAAAGAAGAATATATTTGCTCTGTGTAATCCACACAATCAATATTTGTTTCAGCATGCCCCCCTAATGATAACAATTTTTCTGCAGGTCTACATAAACGACGCACCTGTAAACTATCCAAATGTTGCAACTGAAAAGGGAATAATCCATGGACTGGGGAAAGTAATGGAAATCAAGAAGAACCGATGTGATACCAATGATACTGTGCTAATAACTGTAAGATGTGTCCTTTCATGTATGTTTTAAGGATGTTATTTATTTATTTTAATATTTTCATTATTTTTAAAAAATATGCACACACAGAGACGTATATGGTGTGTGTGTGTTTTCAGCATCTAGCATTTGAAAAGGGGTTTCTGTTTTTGCAATTTGTGGACTACTTTGGCAAAAGGTAATAGCAACATCTTGGCATTTAAGACAAAGTTTGTGAACATGTCAGTTAGTCCACTACTGGCAAATATCCACTCATCAGATCTGCCCAATTTTGATGAATGAGAAGTTGTAACTGGAAAACATAAAGCTGGGCTGCACTATCAAACCATTGGTCCAGCCTTTCTAATATTGCCTACTCCTATTGTAGTGGCTCTCAAAGGGCTTTGATAGATGTCTGCCCAATTCCTTTCATCTTTCTAATTTGTCTAGCAGTGATGGGAGAAGGAGATGGAGCCTGTCCAAATACACTTAGCTATACTTAATGTTGCACCTGGGGGAAAACACAGGGGCTACTCCCAGTGCTGCATTGTGCTTGGAAGACCAGCATAAATATTGTCCCCTTCAAATGTGTTTCAGGATGCTTGCTTTGTTGGTCTGCAGTAGAACTCCTAGATTTGAGTTTAGTTGCACCTTAGAAACCAACAAAATTGGGGGGGGGGGTTCAAGAATAAAACTAGGGAGCTTTGACTCTTGAAATCTTCCACCTTGAAAATCTTGTTGGTGTCTAAGGTGCTACTGGACTCGAATACAGCTCTTCAAATGTATCATTTCATTAACTATATCAGGTTCTGACTGCACCATGCAGTTTTCTGCTGTGTTCGTTTGCTGCCAAGATTGCTTTACCAAGGAGGAAATCTGGAGAGGTCGGGAGAAAAAGAGAAAAGGAGACTAGACCTTTTCTC